AAGTTTTTCATAGTTCAATAAATTATTCTGTTATTTCTTGGTTTGTACCTTTGGTGTTTTGAAGGCTCTTCAATCATATATTTAAATATTTACCTATTTTTCTAGTATATTGATTTCATTGAAAAATGTAACCACTTTGCATTTATTCTGGTGTGTGGATAAGATAAGGGTCTTTTTTTCTCAGTAGCTAAACATTATCTCTGCATGGTGTGATTCTGTTATGCATGTTTGGTTTCTCTGGCAATTTAGGTCATCTACTAACATGATGGAAAATGACAGAGCCAAACAGCTTAACATGTATCTGCCTCTAAAGGGTATTAAAATACTTATCAATGATTTGAGGTAAGTATATTCTCTAGTCTTTGCAGGGGGGGGGAATAAAGCCTCTTAAACTTTATTCCTCTCTGACATAATTGCTATTTCTACATTCTCATAGCAAAGGGATTAGCATCCCAGATGCCATTGTGAGGAACCTCTAGCAAGTGCACTTGTGCTCTGAGCATTCTAACACCTTCAAACATGACCTCTTTGTCCATCAGTTCACTTTTAGTATAAAGATAGTAAAGATACTCTTAAAGTACAAGATAAGAGTATGCACATATCTTTCCCCCCTATTTTAGGGGTTTATTCTTTTTTTGTACTTTATTTTTAAATTGAATTATAATTGATATGCAGTGTTATATTTCAGGTGTAAAACATAGTGATCTGATATTTTTGTACAATACGAAATGATCACCTTGATAGGTCTAGTTACCATCTATCATAGACAAAGCTATTACAATATTATTGACTATGGTCTCTATGCTGTCTATTACATCCTCATGACTTAATTAATTATTTATTTAAAAAATTTTTTAAAAAAGATTTTAATTATTTATTCATGAGAGACAGAGAGAGAGAGAGAGAGACAGAGACACAGGCAGAGGGAGAAGCAGGCTCCATGTAGGGAGTCCGACATAGGACTCAATCCCAGGTCTCCAGGATCAGGCCCTGGGCCGAAGGTGGCGCTAAACAGCTGAGCCACCCGGGCTGCCCATGAGCTATTTATTTTATAACTGGAAGTTTGTACCTCTTAATCCCTCACACCTATTTTCCCATCCCCTTACCTCTCCCTCAGCTGGCAACCAACAGTTTGATCTGTGTGAGAGTTATATACATATCTTTAAGACTCTAAGTTACTCCCATGAATACCTTCTCTATTGAAATCAAGATTTGTAAGCAAGAATGCTTAAGGCTATTTCTCCTAACTTATTTAAGCATGGTATATTTCATCAAAATCTTTTTTTTATTTTATGCATTTTCTTCTCAGCTTTGTAAATGTGTCTATATAATTCTAAGAACACATAATGAGCTGTATTCTTGTAATAGGTTAAATATCCGTACCTGCATTTCTATTTTGTCAAAGTAGACCAGTCCTACAATCAATGCATTTATCCATTTATATCTATGTGTGTCTGTCTCTGTCTACCTAGTGAGATTGAAAATAGCTAAATCTAGTAAGAGTAATAAAGAAATCCTAATAGAGTGCCTCACAGAGAATAGTGTGTAATTAAGAATTTACTATTTATGGATAACCATCATGATTATGCTCATAAAATAAGTATTTCCATATGCATTCGTGGTCTTAGATACAAAGAATGTTGATGACTTTCAGAGTGATTTGGAGTCATTAATAATCTGATGAGATCTCTGAATTTTTTCTATGCCTTTTTTACTCTCATTTGTAAATTTTTGTTAGTTTATCCACTAATAAATGAAACAATTCACCAAAGAAAGAATTCTTTTTTTTTATCCATTTTATATCTCTTCTGCAATGGGACCCTATACCAATTCAAAATAATATTTGTAAAAGAGAAAAAAATAATTCATGAACTAAGCTGGAATATATACATCATCCCATCTAGAAACCTGTTGTAAAGAATGACTTGGAAAAGCACAAATAATTGTTAAATTAGGAAGCAAGATAGACCTGGAGTCCCACTGTAGTTCAACTTCTTTTTGTAGTTTAGAGCCAGAATCCTATCTGTGGTCTAGGATTGACTTTGTTATAGGGAAGGGAGAAAAGTGTTAAGTTTCTAAGTACTCTAAAGCTCCATACTCAATTTTGATTATATCTAATTCTTTTCATTTTCAGGGAGGTAGAGAGAAGTTTCATTGCTCTACTTACATATTTATAGGAATCTGTGACCCCAAAACGATGAAGAACTACTGATAAGAGAGTAACCAGAGTTATAAGAAATAGAAATTTCCTCTTTTGAGTCATGTAAAAAATTAAATTTAAAGATGTTTATTTCCTTTCCTTTCATTTTTCCCTAATTCTCTTTGATGAATTTAATGGTCTTAGAGTTATTTTCTGAAATGTGCAGAAATGAACAATTTAGAAACTATCTTGGACTCACAAATCAGCAAAAGGATGCCATAAATGTTCAGCATGCTATTTCTGAAAGCAAGAGTAGGAGTGGTGGAGCTGTAGAAGACAGAAAGTGGTAGAGAGTAGAAGCATCTTCTACCCTTGAGCCTGTCTGTGCTGGGCCTTTCAGCTGCCATTGTCATTCTGGATGATTGGAAGAAGGTCAGCTGCCCAACATCATGGAAAAATCAGAAAATCATTGCAATCCTAGCATGATGTTCAAATTATTTACCAAAGTTGGCAAGGGAAGAGGGCACACAGCAGGAGGGTGGGTCAAAGAAATATATGAGTTGCTTTCTCAGATGATCCAATGCCTTGTCCACATATCTTCTCCAACAGCTGCTTTTATCGGCTACTTCAGAGAAATGTGGAAAGCCCCCATAATGCACCTTGTGAGTTCTGCCAAATAAGTGAAATTCTGGCAGAAGCAATAGGGGGAAACATGCTCCCCAGTTGGCAGTCAGCTTAGGGATAAAGTTTGATGGCCATCATATATCTTCTGTCAATTCTTTGCCCGCTCCATAGCACGACTTGGAGATTTATATTTAAATTCAAGAATCAGTTTTAATGTTCTTAAAAAATATATGGCCATTAAGTATTTTTCAGATCCTTGTTGTGAAATTTGTTTTTTCAAATTGCTCAATTTCTTTCCAGAAAATATTTTCAAACATTGTGGGTTCCGAGGAGATATTCTTTGCAGATATCTTTCTGCAAAAAAATATTTTATACCTTTTATACCTTATGCAGATGTATTTTTCAAATTAAACTCATACCCCTCTGTCATGATGACCTTTGATAACTGTAGAATTAAAATCTTATCAATGTGACTCATGAAATTAGAAGATCACAGGACAGGTGTAACTGTTTCAGACTTTCTCAATATTTGGCAAATATATAGTAAAATACACAGATTACTTTTGCAAAGAAAGTATTTTCTATTATGCGATACTTATGGGTGCAGAGCTAAAGTATTATTTGGATCTATTACATCTTAATAAATAGGATTCTTTAAATTCTAGGCTCCAGAACAAAAAATTCAAAAGAAGTCTCTTAGTACAGTTTTAACACAACCTTTATACAAAGACTCCTTCAGACCAATGAAAAATCTACTTGATCCGTCTTTTTAAACTGTGTTTATATTTATTTAGAAGTTTTGACTGATTCTGTAACATTAGACAACACTAAGACATTGGAATGGATATAGGTTTTGGTCTCTAATATGATTTTTAAAAAATACATTTTATTTTATTTATTAGAGAGAGAGAGACAGAACATGAGTGGTGGGAGAAGCAGAGGGAAAGGGAGAAGCAGGCTCACGACTGAGCAGGGAGTCCAAGGTGGGGCTCGATCTCAGGACCCTAAGATCATGACCTGAGCTGAAGGCAGTGACTTAACCAACTGAGCCACCCAAGTGCTCTCTAATATGATTTTTTATATTTAGTCACCAATAAGGAAACTGAAATAAATCACAAGACTATACACTAGGTAAGAGATTTGAATTCTGGAAGTAGATAGGGCTTCAGAAAGAACTGGCTTCGGGTTAAGGGATGGTCTGACTTAAAGACCATTGTTTTTATATGATTATATAATATTATATGATAAGTCCAAATGACTCATCATTTTTATTTATTTATTTATTTTTAAATTTTTATTTATTTATGATAGTCACACACACACACACACACAGAGAGAGAGAGAGAGGCAGAGACACAGGCAGAGGGAGAAGCAGGCTCCATGCACCGGGAGCCCGACGTGGGACTCGATTCCGGGTCTCCAGGATCACGCCCTGGGCCAAAGGCAGGCGCTAAACCGCTGCGCCACCCAGGGATCCCCGACTCATCATTTTTATAAATGATTCACTGGTGAATTTTCTTCAAATTTTGAATTACAGATTCTCTATTCAAGCTAACTAGTTATGATAATGGGGGCAAGGAGGGCCATTGGCTTTGCTAATGGGAGGAGGAAAAGTGGAAGCAATAACCAGAGGCAACATATTCCCATCTAAAAGATACCATTTTTATCACAGAAAACATAAATTATAGCAATACTGGGCCAGTATAATAATATTATATATAGTTGTCATCTTAGCTGTATATTTGCCTTCAAGAGTAAGAAGATGAATTTCTCAATATTTCATCTCAAGCTACTCTCAGGTTATTACATTTGAGGCAAAATAATATTGCAAATAGGGTACTTAAGATTTTTGAATGTAAATGGGACAGAAATTTAATATAAAAAATAGGGTACATAATAGACAAGAAAGGGATAAAGTTATTTTACTAGTTCAGCTAACTGAATAAAATGGAAACAGATACAAATCACTAAGAAATTGTTCAGTATACTTTAATTGCAATCATAGAGAATTCCACAAAATAAACTTGAATTCAGTCACAAGTTTCACAAGCTTATAGATTATTATTTGAGTTAAGCATTAAGAATAAAAATTAAAACTTAGCTTTACAGATTAAATTTGCAGCTATGCTGCCTTGCTAGTATTGAAATAAGTGTGTTTCTTAAAAATTGTTTTACTGGATTATGTTAGAAGCAGGGCAGTGTTCCTTGAGGAAGCAGAAGTTCCCTCCTGGTCCCATCAGAATGAAGCTTTCACTATTCTGCCCTTAAGAGGCTGGGGTGGTCGATTGTTGTGCTGAATGGGGACAGCTTGGTCGCCTTCAACATTCGACAAAAGACTTCGGAACTGAGCCAGCTGGGAAGAAGGATAAAATATTTAAAGAATCAAAGGCTATTAAAGTTATACAAAGGACTTTATTTCCAGTATTAGTAATGCACTGATATTTAGAAAACTAAGTTGCTGATTGCAATGGTCTCACCAATGGGAAGGGAGGAAGTCAAAAATTCCTACATATTTATTTGAACTAGGTATTTGGTTTAAATTGTAAATGATTGACTGGATTCGAATGCCAACTTTCTCAGAATGTCAACCTGGCTACCTTGGCTGAGTTTCCATATAGTAAAATTACAATAACATTGACTGTATTCACTGTGCTATACCTTTCTACCCCTGTGACTTATTCATTCCATAACTGCCTCCCACTCCCCTTCATCTATTATATCCATCCCCCAATCCCTTCCCATCTGCAACCATCAATTTGTTCTATTTATGTCCTATTCTGCTAGAAATCTAACCTCTTTAGAGTGACTGAAGCTATGGCTGAAGGCTTGTTTTTTAAGACACAATGTATGATAATTTATGAGCTCTCAGAATAATCCCAAAATATATTCCTACCTTCTACTTAAAACATCACCTTACAAAATTACCCAAAAACCCCTGTCATTGAATGTAGACAAACTTTCTAAGAGTTCCACAAAAACATCAACTGGCCTATAAAACCACGGAGATGTGAAAAAAAAAAATCGCTGACTCCACCAAAAGTGAAAATAATGACTATACCTAAAAAAAAAAAAAATGGTGTGCCCTCAACGTTTCAATCCTAAGTATAGAGTTAATATAGGTGAAATTATACATGCATAATGTAGTATGGAATAGGCCCCTTAAATAGCTGATAGGAAAAATATGAAACACCATCAGCTACTTACATTGGGTTGTTGTGAAGATTAAATAGGTTAATAGATACAAAGTTCTTAGAATAGTGCTTGGCATGTAGCTTAAGCTCAAAAGTAAGTGTCCATTACCAGTAGGCTACAGACATCGCCTGTCCTATAGGTTTGTTATGAGAATTGGCTGGCAAAACATGTATGTAAGGCACCTAGTAAAAGAGGTCGCTCAATCAAAGGCAGTTATTATTATCATAATTATAAACAATAATTAAGGACATATTTTGTTGGATAGTTAATAACAGAAGTTTCAAAGAAGAACAAAAGCCCTTTGTCAACTCTCAGGGTATGTCAGTTGCGAACCATACTTCCCACAAATTTTAGTAGAACTTCCAGGGACAATCTTTTCTTTGCTTATGAGACTCCTAGGTAGACACTTAACAAGGCTGGATTTTCCCTTGATACATTGGAAAAGACAGCAGGAGTTCAGAATCTCCCATTTTTTTCTACATAAAGTATAAAACAGCATTATAATACACATTTCTTTTTGATTGTTCAACAGAGTCATGTCAGAAATGAATCCTTTCCACTAGGAATAGACAACAAACTTCTCAAAAATCTATTTGACGTCATAATGTTCCCCGTTAGTGCTCTGAATTGAAGTGATACTCATGCTTTGCACTACCAGGTTCCCCTCTTTCACCTTTGATACGCTACCTGTTCTGGGCTGATACCGATGCTGTCCTTACAAATGATCCAGCTTACACTCTCATAAAGGGGAGGATGAGTCAGAGAGCCATGGTAGGTCCAGTAATCCAGGGATGAAGGAAGGAGAATAGAAGGGTCAAAATTTGTGAATGGGGCTCGTTTGTTCTGGAAGAAAAAAGAAAAGTAATATATTATTATATCGTGATTTAAAATACTTATATCATATACATATATGATATCTATGTTATATTATTTTGGTATATATGTTGTCTTGATATTTTTGCTGAGAATTTACATTTTCTACTACACAGTATACACTGGTGTGTTTGTAGATATAAGCAGTAAAAGTAATAGAAGACTGAAAATTTGCTACACTGACATTTTGGCCAACCAATCTTCTTCCTTCCTTTTGGTTGAACATAAAGATTAAAATGCTTTTAACTAATCTACACTCTCTAAAAGATATTTCACTTCCAGGATAAGACATTTATTATTTCTTTAGGAATGATGCCAGCTATTGTTCCCGTGGCAAAACTATTAGCATGCACATTGGTTATGTTTTAGCCTTATTCCATTTATTCCTATTTTCTGTTTTGATTGTTTGTGAGTGGCATATTAATGGTATCTCAAAAGGATACCCTTAACTCCTGCATTTTTGTACCGCTGAAGAGACAGACAATTTTCTTCATGAAATGGGGGAAAAATCACTTTTTAGTTGGATATAGTTTTTAAAGAAAATGTAAATGGCTATGGAACCTGTTCTTCTATAGACTTCATCCTGCTAAAATAGATAGATAAAAGAAAATAACTGGGAAAGAGAAAAAAAATCAAAACAAATCAAATGCCTTAGTCAGAGACTTTCCCAGAAGCAAACAATATCTAAGTAGTACCTTGATTTTCAAATTGGTAGCTTCTGCTCTAGGTTTCCTACTCTCCACTTCAAATATGTGACTAAACGATTTCAGTAGTTCTGTGGATTCTTATCCTCTGATTTAAACTAACATATTTAGTCTACTGACCTTGGTTTTAACTGCGTTTAGGGCATCCAGCACTTTCTGCAGTTTTGGATTGGCTTGATCAATCTGGAGATAAAAAAAAATGTGAGTTAGAAGTTGTAATAAAGTCAAACTGTGTTTAGCTAATTTTTTTTCGATTAAAAACAGTAACTGAAGGAAGGGAAGACACTTTCTTTCTGCTTTCAGAGAGGGAATTTTGCTTGGCGTAGGTCCTTGTGGGGCCTTGTGCTCTATAAATGAATTGTTCATGATGTGTAACTGCTGTCAACCAAAAAACAAGAAACTGGCTCAAGGGGCAACGCATTTATTGGAGATCAAAGAATCGCAATTCGGGGCACACAGATTGAGGTAGAAACCCAAACAGCATTCCAATTTCAGGACAGAGACTCGGGGTATTTGTGGAAGAAAAGGAAGATCACATAAGTAGTTTTTGAGAAGGGTTCATGTGTGCTAACCAGCAAGGTGGGATTCGCACTTCACTGATTGGGCAGGTGAAGTGGTCACTATGCAAAAGTTCACTTTTATCAGTTCTCTCGATAGGCTGTTCTCCTTCTTGCTGACTTCTTGGGATGTTGGTGGTTTGGCTCCAGCACAAGGAAAGTGGCAAACAAAAAGCTCAATTTTAATTTAATATGGTCAAGATGTTCAAGGACACGCAAGTCAAAATCCAGGAACTTGGCAAAATCCAGGAACTGTGACACAAAACACAACCTCTTACTTTGGGCCTGTTTCATTAGTTATAATCGGTACAGTGTTTGGTGCGTTGTAAGTGATCAATAAAGGTTAACTAGAATCACTATAATTCCAAAAGTTAGCCACCTAAGTGCGATATTTATAATAAGAAACCTGTTTACGACACAGTGTTCCTAGACCCCTTGGAATTTCCTAAGTGATAGTGATAAAGGTATCTTCTGTTATGTTGACTGGGGGGACTTTTGAACTGAATCTAAGGATGAGGGCTGGATGCCAGGAGAACCAACTATGCGATTAGAGGGTTGGAACTTTCAGCTCTACCCTCAAACCTCTGGGGATGGGAGAGGGGACAGAGACTAGAGCTTGAATCAGTTGCCAAAGGCCAATGATTTAATCAGTCATGGGTAAATAACGAAGTCTCCATAAAAACCCAAAAGGACTGGGTAGAGAGAGTTTCCAGATGGGTGAATTTGGAGAGATACAGGGGAGACAGTGGGCCTGGATAGGGCAAGGATGCTCTTTGCCTCTGCCCATACCTTCCTCTACGCATCTTTTCCATCTGAGTTATATCCTTGTGTAATTACCAGTAATGTAGTAAGTAAAATGTTTCTCTGAGTTCTGCGAGCTGTGCTAGCAAATTAATTAACCTCTTCCAAGCCAAGGAAGAGGTCATGGGAAACTCTGATTTATAGTCAGTCAAGTCGGAAGCCCCGCTAACAATGTGGGCTGGAGACTGACACCCGAGGTGGGCGGGGGAACTTGCAATCTTGTAAGTCTGAACCCTCAACCTGTGGAACCTGAGGCTATCTCTGCATGGACACTGTCAAAATTGAGCTGAATTTCTGGATGCCCGCTGGTGTCCAAGAATTGCTTGCTAGAGGTGTGGGGGATATCTGCACATTGGAATTTGGGGAGCAGAACCCAAAAGACCCAAGTATACCCAACTCAATAATAACTTCCCTATAGAACTTTTCAGGGACTCTCCTATAGAGGATTTAAGCAACACCAGCCATTTTAAACCTTAACTGAACTTTTTTTATGGGACAATAATCCTCTTAATATTTTTTCCATAATGATGCATTAAATTGGTAAATTCCTGAGCTTGTGAAATAGGAAGTTTAGAGGAAAAGGAATTTGGAAAATTTGGAATATAGAAATTCCCTCTCCCTCCAACACCTTCCCATTCTATCCCTACCTGAAACATAATTCTCCGAAGAAGGTAGAAGCCAAGAGAAATCAAAGCAGCAAAGTACTAGGGAGCTGTTTGCTCACCTGTAGCCATGAGTAGAATGGAAAAATTTTCAAAAAAGAAAGACTCAAATATATTTTTGCCTTATTTTATACTATTTTGTTGTCTGATTGGTAAGAAATAGTGTTAGCCGATCTCTGTAACTCTCTGTAACTCACCTTCATCAAAACAGCAATAATTGCCAAACCATCAGCCTGTGAGACAGCTTCAGCAAAGCTGGAGTACTTTGCAGAATTCCAGTGAACTATGTGAAGCTAAAAATAATAATGTGGTCAATTAGTTATTTATACCATTGTGAAGACAGAACGTTGTAAATTTTTTTTTTAGAACGTTGTAAATTAACTTGTTAATAGATGAAGATGTATTTGGCTTAGATAACATTTATGTGAACCTGGGTCCAAGCAGATAGGAAGGGTTATGTTCTCACTCTTAAGAAGGGTTATGTACATTGAGTAGAGCAGGCAATTTGCAATTTCTATGGAACCAGTGAATAAAATTTCTTTTCCCGTAATATCATAACTATTCAGTATTACTTCTTTTTAAAAATTGTTTTGGTATGAAAAGATCAGGAATTCCAACTAACTAGTTTTCAACAGAACTGAAATAACACCTGTCAGGTGAGGTACTTTTTAGTAACTTTATGAGAAGGGGTTCCTGGACAATCTGAGGGGCTTGGCCCAAAACACATTCTCTTAAGCACATCTAGGCACCTCTCGAATCATTATCTCTAGCCTAACCTCTCTATGGAACTCTAGATCTGAATATCCAGTATGTCATCTCGATATCTTCTTGATATCCCTGCATGGATGTCTAATAGGTATCTCAAACTGAACATGGCCAAAGTACAACTCTTGACTTCTTCCTTGCCAAAACTCTTTAATTTTCCCATTTTTGGAAAAGGGACCACCATCTACCTAATTGCTCAATCAAAAAGTAAAACAGCTATCATTGATTTCTTACTTTCCCCACTTATCAACAGCCATCTCTCAGCACATCTCATAGATTATACTTCCTCATTCAGTTTATAACTTCAAGTTTTTGCATTAGTTGCTGATTTTTTCTGGAATGTCCTCTGTAATCTGTCAATGACAGCCTTTTGTCTTGAATTAGGGCTGAACACAAATGCTATTACTGAAAGAATCCTTTAATTTCCTAATGTAAAGTGATCACTTGGTCAATCATATTACTTTACATTAGTTAATTCTCCCCATACCACTTACCTAATTTCTCTTGCTTGCTCTCTTTCTCTCACATTCTCACTCTCTCTCTCTCTTTTCCTTCTTTCTCCTTTTCCTCTCTTTGCCCCAACTCCTGCTCTCCCTCTCATTTTCCCTCCTGGCCTCAGTCACATGTTGAATTTTGTGTCTAAGCACCTCTCATCTCTAGCTTGGATTATTTTTATTTTTCTTAAAGGAGATGAGAAGATCATTGACTTAGATTTCTTAGAAATTGGTGTGTCCAAACTTGAACACTTGAATAGGAAGCAAATTGTATGGTTGGTCAGCTCAGAGTCAGAGCTTTAAAGGAAAGCATTAGCCTCCTCTTGAGCCTAGCCTGATGTGAGGTAACAGTTTTTTGAGGCATCCTGAAGAGAGTGATGATTCTTGGGCTCAGGAGCTCAACTCCAAGTTGCCTTTTTCATACACAAAAGATTTCCTTCTGTTACCAAACTTAGTATGTGTGTGTTTGATTTTAATAGGGTCTGGGAGTTCCTTCTAGGGATGAGACGGCTCATTCCTTTGGGGCCCTTATAATGGTGACTTATGCAACCAAGCAGCTGCTTCTGAAAGCAATTCTCAGTGTAATTATCTCTCACTTACTAAGTGACATTACCTCTCCAGAATATTTGACTCCATCCACTGTGTGTTCAGAACCATAGTCATTGGTGCTCCCCCAATGAAAATGGAACTGAGAGAGCCTATAGCTTGCAGAAAGAGGACCACCTTTCAGCACTAGAAGAAAAAAGGAATTACCGTTAGTTTTATGATCACAAGCTCCTGCTTATCTTTGCATTGAATATAAACCAATACTAAATTGGATTAGCTAGAACTGAGAACAAACACTAATGCCAAAGTTTTTTTCTTGTGGGATTTTCTCCCTTATATCCATGATGATGGCATTTATATGTATGATGTGTCCCTGACCATTGCATTGGGTTATTATATACAGTTCTCAGCACATGAGCTGTAATTTTTATCTTTTTCTTTTTTTCCTCTTCTTTTTAAATGTAGACTTCACACAGTGTGGAGCCCAACATGGGGCTTGAACTCACAACCCTTAGAACAAGACCCGAGCTGAGATCAAGAGTTGAATGCTTAACCAACTGAGCCACATCGGTGTCCCTAATTTTACCTTTTTCTGCTGCCAAGGAAGTATATGGGAAGGTGAGCAAATTATAGTTTTACAGGGCTTTCCCTGAATTTTTCCCGAAAAGAGATTTTCCTGAATCTGCTTTAACTTTGCAAGTTCATTCATTCATTCTTTCAACAAAGACTATGTAGGTAGTATTAAGATCTTTAGTAATTTATTTTGAGTAACAAATTACACATACATACTTTGCAACTAGTCAAGACATAACGTGTCTGTTGACAACTTTGTTGAGAATGCCTGTCCAGGGACTAAGAGAAAGTGCCAGTGGGGCAATGGGGTCACTTTAAAAATTTTGATATTGAATGACTGTCATTTTCAAGAGTCTATGTAATCATATGATTAATTAAACACACATAATACCAGATCTAGTCTAATATTAACAATGGACGCAGCCCCAAGGTGCCTGAAATTTAGGCTCAGAACCTTGCAGGAAAGTGCTAAAACAAGTTCCACCTTTTGTCAGTAGAGCTGTCTTATGAAATTATCATTTAATAAACTTTTTTAAAAAAGATTTATTTATTTATTTATTCATAGAGACACACATACAGAGAGAGGCAGAGACACAGGCAGAGGGAGAAGCAAGCACCATGCAGAGAGCCCGACGTGGGACTCGATCCAGGGTCTCCAGGATCACGCCCTAGGCTTCAGGTGGCGCTAAACCGCTGAGCCACCTGGGCTGCCCATTTAATAAACTATTTAAGAAATATTTATGAAAATCTTACCATGTAGCAGAAAATGTGCTAAGTTCTGAGGTATGAAGAATTCAGTCACTACAGTCTTGTAGGGGAGAGGGAGATAGAAGAGTATACTTACAAACAGAATAAATCTTGCAAGGTTTATGTATGACTCATTTTCTTACTGGTACCCAAGCACTTTATAATGATAGAGTCATTTTTCTGGCTGCAAGAAGTAAATCTGTTCTTCACTCCATTTCTCTTTCCTATTGTGCTCCTCCATCCTCATTCCAATTAGAAAATATTTGCCTTTTCAGTTTCTGTATTCACCGTGATGGCTTATTAGAACTTCTTGGAAAAAACTCAGTCTATTCAGAGAATGTGAAATGAATGTAAAGTTACTAAAGACCAGAAGAGATGGAATGGTGTTATGGAAGAGAAGAGCTAAAAAAGGCAGAGCTGTGGGGTTCCAAAAATCATCTTTACCACTTGGGGGTTTTGCAAAAGTCCAGGATGCTTCACCAGAGTGCACAAATTTACACATATGCACTACACATGTGCACAAAAAGACTGAAGATGGCATTTGTGTTCTTTAAAGTCCTATTGTTTAAATTTTCCTAGTAGAGTCAAAGACAATATAATCAGAAAGGTCTTTTGGCTCACCTGATCGGTCATCATGGTCCTCATAGTTTACATGGAAAGAATGTCCCACGTTGATTATTTCTTTGGCTGTGGCTGGATTGTAGGAGACACTGATAGGCTTAAGAGAGGTGTCATGTTTGGTTTCACCGGTTTTAATGTCAATGGGAGATTGGTTATTTCCATTTGCAATGGGGTACAGCTTGCCCCACTGTTCAGGACCTGCCAAGGCAAACACGTGCATACGATCAAAACCTTGTTAAGTGTTTGACTCCAAGTTTTAGGAGTATAAGTAGCTCTTTGCTTATTAGACTACAATTTATTCAGGCATCTTAAATGGTATTCTGTTTAGCTTAATGAAAATTCAACATTTGAGAATGCACTTTTCTATACTATCCTATAAAATAGTATATTTGTCAACACAACTATAAATATTTTACTATCAGTAATAGACTTCTAATACACACACACACACACATATATATATAGAGAGAGGGATTGAGAGAGAGGAAAAGATGGAGAACACATTTTGTAAACAACCATATTTCAAAGGACAAGTGCTAAGAGTATATGCAAAGTTATTTTAGTCATTCAAGTCAGGCAGTTCAAACCTTTAGCCTATGACTGTAAAGTTATTTTACGTATATAATTTATTTTTTAAAATGCTCAATACCTCTTTTTTTTTTAAAAGACCCTATTTATGTATTCACAAGAGACACAGAGAGAGGCAGAAACACAGGCAGAGGGAGAAGCAGGCTCCTTATGGGGAGCCCGATGCAGGACTTGATCCCAGGACCCCGGGATCACCACCTGAGCCAAAGGCAGGTGCTCAACCACTGAGCCATCCAGGTGCCCGCTCAATACCTCTTTTATTGGAAAAGGCAAAGAGCTATTACTTTGATCTACACGAGCAGAAGAACTCTTACCGTTTTTGTCATCATATCCCCAGTTGGAGCTCGTCATGATCTTCTACTTAGTTTTCTTTGCTGCAAACAAAGATAATACCTGGAATAACTGACTGAGAGTCAGCATGCGGTAAACAACTGAAACTACCACTTGTGGGTTTTTATAGAAACTTCTCTGCCTTTAATAGGCCACTATATCATCATCTCTGCCTATCAGGAAGTGTAGATAAGTTAAGAAAAAAAAAAGCTGCTAGTAAAAAAAGCCCACAAAGGTCAGAGCAGTTCTAATTGTTTCATTTTCTTATATTGTAAGAGAGAAATATCAAAATGGTAGGTTTTATAAAACCAAGCCCTGTTTCTTTCATGTGAGTAGATGATATAGCTGAATAATATCCCCTATGAGTCTTTGGGTTTCCTAAAATAAGATTGGATTTGTGCACTTGATATTTCCAGTGTCACTCTTGCTGGATACTTCAGCAATAATACCAACAGTATTTTAGTAAGGAGAATAATGGGTACGTTTACAGGATGATTGCAACTAGTAATTGCAAATTAGAATTAGTGATTGGAAAATTAATTCTTTGTAATATATACTATCCATAAAGTACATTTCATAGACACACAGGATGAGAATAAAGTCCTTCATTTTAGAGCAATATTGGAATTTGTAACTGGAAACAGTATTATTATTATTTTTAAAGATTTCATTTATTTATTCATGAGAGACACAGAGAGAGAGAGGCAGGGACACAGGCAGAGGGAGAAGCAGGCTCCATGCAGGAAGCCCGACGCGGGACTCGATTCTGAGTCTCCAGAATCATGTCCCGGGCTGAAGGCTGCGCTAAACCGCTGAGCCACCTGGGCTGCCCATGGAGACAGTATTATTAATATTGAAATTGAAGATAGCCCAATATTTATTTTACACATCAAATTCAGCTCTACTGGAACAGAAATCATTCTTTTGATTTTTTAAAAATATTTTATTTATTTAAAAAATATTTTATTTATTTGACAGAGAGGAGAGAGCACAAGCAGGCAGAGAGAGAGGGAGAGGCAGGCTCCCCGCTAAGCAGGGACGCAGATGCAGGGCTTCCTCCTAGGACGTCGGGATTATGACCTAGGCCAAAGGTAGATGCTTAACTGACTGAGCCATCCAGGCTCCCCCTTCTTTATGATTTTTAAAGCAATTTCACTACCACCACACACACACAAATCCTATTAAGTAAAAATGATTATTTTGTAGTTGAGAGCTATTGAGGGACTTCTCCACAACTAGTAAGAAGCCAAGAAATCAAGACTTCATTATGAGCCCCATGTCCAGTTGCTTTCTTTGCTATACCCTCTATGTGAGCTATGAGATGGGTGATCCCCTAATTCTCCTTTTACACCTACAATTCTCGTAAACCCAATTTAAGCCAGAACCGAGGTGAGAATTGCCACCTGTTGAGTGATAAGGAGATCTATGGGACTTTCCAAGTAGGCGAAGAAAACCAATTAGCATGTGTCAGACTCTGGCTGGATCCACATATCTGAGGCTCTAAATATGCTCAAAGGAGTACAAGCAGAAAAATAAGCTTCCATAGTAATGCTTTTTCATGCCTTTGTGGTCATTAGGGAGTGTCTCCATTCACACTCTAGAATTGTCTGAGGTGCCTGCGCTCCCTGAAGGAAGAGGAAGACTAGGTGCAATTTTTAGCAAAGCTGACTAGAGACACATTGTTTGTCTCTTTTTGGCTCACAATGGCCAACTGCCCCAGCCACAGAGTGGACTATGGCTCATGGGCATTGTGGGGAGAGTCTACGCTTCCATTCTATGCTCTACCAGGCAGAAGGAGCTATTACTTAAAGGGAGCTTTTTTTTTTTTTTAAAAGTACCATATATTGAGGTCCCAGTATGTCTCAAGGCTGTGCTGAAAACTTTACATGCACTAATTCATTTGATTCTTACAGTAACCAAATTAGGCATTAAAATCTGTATTCTGCATTAGAAGAAGGCTTTCTAGAGGTGAAGACACCTCCTAAGGTTACAAAACTTGTAAATGGAAGCTTACATCCCATAAGCCTAGAGTTTAAATCTAGATCTAATGCCAAAGCTTATACTCTTTCTTAACTGTCCAGTGTCAATAAATGCCCAATGACCACCACTTGAATCTATTTTGTGGAGGATTGGATTAGTTGATCTGTTGTGGTCTAGCTCAAGTGGATCATTAGTCGGAATTGATTGCTGGGCTTCCTTCATTCTAGACTTAAGAATCTCAGTTTGGCCAAAAGCTCATGAACTCATAGTAGAAGGTCCATTTTGCCTTGTACTTGCTTCCTAATATTTGCTATTTTGCTAAAAATAATTAAAAACAGAACCACTATATTAATCAACGTATTTGAAAAACATATTTGAAAAAGACGACCTCTTTTCATTATATGATTATGTGATGATTCATCACATGAATATTTTAACAGTCATATGGGATGGTCATTCATTTCAAATTTTTGGCACAAAACTCCTTTGAGCCTTAACTATTATGACCTTTTATTCCATTACACACCTGGGTGTGTTTGTGTGCAAGCAGAAAACTATAGAGAGAGGATGTAAAATTTAATGAATATCTATGGTTTGAGTCCTAACACCTCACCCATTTTACTTTCACTCCTCTTTTTCTGCTTACAAACACTGCCTCTTCCAGCTTAATAGCCTCCCCCTGGGGTCCTGTTTCAGGGCTGTGATCTTTGGACTCTTTTTTCATACCAAAGGAGTTCAATCTGCACAGCCTCTGCTCTTCTAAACTAACACTTTATTTCGTAAGGCTATGAAATATGAAAGAAGATTATTCATTTTTCCTGATAAAATATTCCAAATAAGCCTAAACATACTTGAAAATGACTCAGGAGCAATTAGGCTGATGGAAAAACTATTTTTTTAAAGTAATGCAAAAATACATAAGTAGTTTTGGTAGAGAATTGCTTAACTAATAACATCAAGAAGTATCAAGTTATATGTCAATTATATCTCAATAAAGCTGAGGAAAATAAAAATAAAAAAGGTTTTAACACTTTATAGAGACTTTTAAATGTTGAAAGTATGATGTGCAAGAAGTTTAACTTTCATAAGTATATTGGTCCAGTTCGAAAATTTGATGAAACCATACTAATGGGCTGAGGGGGAGAAAAGAAAGGTTTCCTTTGCTACCAAATGAAGCAGAATTTCAGAGGCCAAATATTACAGAAAAAAATGTAAAGATGAAATGTTGATTATCTTAAGGGGATCCGCCCTTAAACTCTATGCCACAGTTTTATCTCTTGACTTTCATAATAAATAAAATTCATGAAACAAACAGAAATATCAAGAGTGCTGGAAGATTGACTATTATGGGAAGAAGTGTTCCCTGTGCGCTCATGCTAGGGGATGGCAGCCTGGCTTTTTAGAAAAGACTAGTTTTTATAGAGCAATTTTCATCTGCCAAGTCCTTTAAAATAATGAGCCCCACTGATCCTAAAAGCAGACCGGGGGATTAAATTAGTCTCATCTTATTCTTTTTTTTTTTTTTTTTTTAAAGATTTTGTTTGTTTGGGAGAGAGAGAGAGGAGAGAGAGCACAAGAAGGGGCAGAGGCAGAGGCAGAGGGAGAGGGAGAAGCAGACTCCCTGCTGAGCAGGGAGCCCAATGCGGGCGGGGCTCAATCCTAGGACTCTGGGATCATCACCTGAGCTAAAGGCCAGTGCTTTACCGCCGAGCCACCCAGGTACCCCTCATCTCACTCTTAAAGAGGAAAACCTGAGGCTCACAAAATTCAAGGAGAAGAACCAGGATTTTAATCCCTTTCTGGCTACCTTGAAAGCCTGTGTGGGGACGCCTGGGTGGCTCAGAGGTTTTGTGCCTGCCTTTGACTCAGGGCATGACCCTGGAGACCAGGGATCGAGTCCCACGTGGGGCTTTCTGCATGGAGCTTGCTTCTCCCTCTGCCTGTGTCTCTGTGTCCCTCATGAATAAATAAATAAAATCTTAAAAAAAAAAGCCTGTGTGTGCTTCCTCTTCTCTATACAATGATGCCTTTAACAGGCTATCTATAAAACATTTGCTGTAAAGTCAGTTAATATTTTTTGCATTTATTTATTTATATGAGTAGCATCAATTACTTTGCTGGAGATTTTTCAGTGCCCTGCAATGTTTTTCAAAAAAGCAGCACCATTTCCTCAGTGTTTTACAAAATTTAGAAACCAGAAGTAGCTGATTTTTACATTATAAAGTCTTAGCATTTATTTGAACTTTTTTCTTCTAGTTTCCTAAATGAATGTTTTCCTCTGATTGCTCCTTTAACATTTTAAAGTTAACAACATGAACTCTTACTCAGGTGAAGGGATTACAGTGAGTCTAGTACTTCAGTTTGTGATTAAAAATAATGCTCTGGCATAGAAGGATATAAAAATGGGAAAGAGGGCTGTGTTTCAATACGGTAGAGATCTGCTAAATACAGCTGGCAAGAAATTCCAAAGGGAAATAGCTGTTCTCTAATGCTTAGAGTTCTACAAGGACAAGTGGCTTCCTTGGGATCCATATTTTCCCCCAAATAAGGAAATCAAGTGTCATTTTTAACTATTAAAATTTGGCATGACTTATCACATTGCTGCCTAAGTTCCCTGCCCCTCTGCAGTGGTATTGTTCAGGGTGGCAAGATAAACTTTATATCTAGTGGAGAAGAGGGTCATGGAAAATGGTGATATTCGTTCAAACGTTTCTACAGTAAGACAACTGGAAATTCTGATGAACCAGTTTCAATGGCAGGATGGTTTATTTGGATCTCACAGCTATCATTTTGCCCAAATTGGTCTTCTCTTCTACTGAAATGTCTTACCCACTTTATTCTTTCTAGTGAATGTCTTTATTTTCATCCATACTTTGCACCGTGGCACCTGGGTGGCTCAGTCAGTTAAGTGTCTGCCTTCGGCTCAGGTCATGATCCCAGGATCCTGGGAGTGAGGGCCTCATTGGTCTCCCTACTCAGCGGGGGGAGTCTGCTTCTCCCTCTTCCTCTGACCCCCCTCACCCCCTGCTTGTGCTCTCTCT